TATACGCGGTTGCTTCAATGAGGATTCCCGGTGTTTGTTATTAATTCTATTCCTCTTTACCTTGTCGCGCTCTTTTTTCTCCGCTTCCTCGATGCATTTATCGTTATCTTTGCCAAACGTGTCTTTTAGAGAAGTACCAATATACACCGGATTTCTTTTTTTGCTCTTCTCTTGTTGGTGGTTCTGTTCCCTGTGGCTTCTCAAATTCATATTGTCCAAGGACACTTTTTGTACATGCTTGTCCATTTTGTCACTGCTGACTTCCTCTGATGTGTCGAGTTTTTCTACGATGGCTTCCAATTTTTTCTTTTGATGTTCCAGCTTAGCTTCCAGATCTTGGACTTGGTTTTCCAGGTCACGCCGTTGCTTTTGAACCTTTTCTTCAATGGCCCGTATGTCTCTTTCAAATTTAGTTAGCAAGGACTGCACCAAATCTTCAAGCCCCAGTTTTTCATCATTAGCGGTTTTCAGGCCATCTTCTAATATTTTGATTCGGGAAGCTGATTCGGCTAATTGTGATGCAGTATTGAGTCTTCCCTCTTCATTATTTTGGGTAAGAGCTCTAACTTTTTCCTCCGAGTTAGGACTTGCCGGCGGGAATATATTCATATCCTCAAAGTTTCGAGCTGCAACAAAAACACACCAGTCACATTCGCAATCATGTGGATAAAATAGCCAATATCTTCTAGCCATTTCAAGAGTGTCTCGATCACCAATACAATATTCCGCTTCTCTTTTATCATCCAAAGGGCATGTAATATCACCCTTTGCATCTTTTCCACAACTTGTGGTCTTCGAGGGCCTCTGCTCTGTTGTCAGCCCGAAGGTGGGAAATACAATATTTGCACACTCCTCAGCTTCCATTGCTACTTCCTCCGGACTAAGGAAATAGTACTCCAGTTCAATTCTCCAGGGTCCTGGTGGTTTTAAGCATTCTTCAATTTCCGCTTGTGCAGTATCTCCATTCAACTTGCAACCTCGTGTTCTCGTCGCCATTAATTTATGCGCTAACACAAGGCATTTATCCACTGCTACTGAACTTTCCTGGATTCTCTGAGGAATGTACTTTTTAAAACTTTTCAACGTTTGTTGTAAAACGTAATACGTGTTTTCAACAAGAATCTTATACTTGTTCACGTTACGAATTTTTTTAAATTGAGTCGCCGATGCCAATGTTGTGCAGAAATAGTCAGCCAAGACCAAAAATTTTGCTTCTTGATCCATTTTTTTTTTTTTCGGAATTCTTTTTGAGTTTTAACTTGGACTAATTGATGTCCTCTTTTCAAAATTTATTTTTATGTATATATATATTTTTTTTATTTTGGGACTTTTGTTGTCCTCTTTTCGCTTTATTTTTGCCCCTATGGCTTTTTTTTTTTTTTGTTTTTGCCCCTATGGCTTTTTTATTTTTGCCCCTGTGGCTTTTTTATTTCTTTTGCCCCTATGGCTTTTTTATTCAAATTAGTCCCTTCGGCTATTATTTTAAAATGCCCCTATGGTCTTATATTTAAAATGCCTCAACGGACTTTTTTTTTTTTTTTTTAGAAATTCTCCTCTTTTTCTGGAGAATAACTACTTATGCTTGTAGTGAGTCTCTTACCACTGGTGGGGGAAAACTCCTACAATTTTTTTTTTTACGGCCACTAGTTCTTTTCACTTTATAAAAAAGTGAAGGCTCGATTGACCAAATGTAAGCGGGAGAAGAGAAAACACAACCGTATCGTTTGGCTGTTGGTTCAATTCTGATTTTATTTTTAAAATATGTTCCTTACGTACTACTAAAACTAATCTAACTTAACCTAGTCGCAGCCACACAATTGTTCTTATCTATTATTAGATTTAAAAGGAAACATTACATGGCTGCGTGTCCCTTCATTCAAGTGATCTTGGCTACCTACTGGCGCATCAATATCTGTGTGTGTGGGTTATGACCTTTATTATCCTACACATTATCGTATGCGACAGCGCACAAGATCACTGAATTGTACACATGTGATATTTTATGACCACTGGGAAATTGACAATTTTTAAATATTTATTTTTAATGGTTAGATTTTCCCAGCGCCTCAGCCGCACTCAAAAGTATGTACAAAGTATTTTGTACAGGGGGATATACGATATTGTGGACCTATATAGACAATTACCTTTTAGGGGTCAAAGCGCTCACAAAGAACTCCTTGTGTGGATTTTCAGACAATACCATAGGAAAATATGGCTAAAATCATCAAAACACCGAATATCGGGGGTACCGTTATATGGGGGTCATACGATATCGTGGACCTATATAGATAATTCTCTTCCGAGGTATAAAGTACCCACAAAGTTCTCCTTGTGTGGATTTTCAGACAACTCCGTTGAAAAATGTGGGTAAAATCATCAAAATTTCGAATATCGGGGGTACCGTTGTATGGGGGCTATACGATATCGTGGACCTATATAGATACTTCTCTTCCGAGGTATAAATTACCCACAAGGTACTCCTTGTGTGGATTTTCAGACAATTCCGTTGAAAAATGTGGTAAAATCATCAAAATATCGAATATCAGGGGGTACCGTTATATGGGGGCTATACGATATCGTGGACCTATATAGATAATTCTCTTCCAAGGGATAAAGTACCTACAAGGAACTCCTTGTGTAGATTTTCAGACAATTCCGTTGAAAAATGTGGCTAAAATCATCAAAATACCGAATATCGTGGGGTACCGTTATATGGGGGCTATACGATATCGTGGGGTCAAAGTGCTCACAAAGAACTCCTTGTGTGGATTTTCAGACAATACCATAGGAAAATATGGCTAAAATCATCAAAACACCGAATATCGGGGGTACCGTTATATGGGGGCCATACGATATCGTGGACCTATATAGATACTTCTCTTCCGAGGTATAAATTACCCACAAGGTACTCCTTGTGTGGATTTTCAGACAATTCCGTTGAAAAATGTGGTAAAATCATAAAAATATCGAATATCAGGGGGTACCGTTATATGGGGGCTATACGAAATCGTGGACCTATATAGACAATTCTCTTCCAAGGGATAAAGTACCTACAATGAACTCCTTGTGTGGATTTTCAGACAATTCCGTTGAAAAATATGGCTAAAATCATCAAAATACCGAATATCGGAGGGTATCGTTATATGGGGCTATACGATATCGTGGACCTATATAGATAATTCACTTCCAAGGGATAAAGTACCTACAAGGAACTCCTTGTGTGGATTATCAGACAATTCCGTTGAAAAATGTAGCTAAAATCATCAAAATATCGAATATCGGAGGGTATCGTTATATGGGGGCTATACGATATCGTGGACCTATTAAGATAATTCTCTTTCAAGGGATAAAGTACTCATAAGGAACTTCTTGTGTGGATTTTCAGACCATTCCATTAGAAAATGTGGCTAATATCATCAAAATACCGAATATCGGGGGGTACCGTTATATGGGGGCTATACGATATCGTGGACCGATATAGCCCATCTTTGAACTTGACCTGCCTGCAGACAAAAGAGGGATCTGTGCAAAATTTTAGCTTCCTATCTTAATTCGTTTAGACTGTAGCGTGATTACAACATACGGACATACAGACGGACATGGCTAAATCGTCTTAGAATTTTACGCTGATCAAGAATATATATACTTTGTTGGGTTAAAATCATTATTTCGATGAGTTACAAACGGAATGACGAACTTAATATACCGTCCATACTATGTATGGTGGAGGGTATAAAAATTGAATCCACTGAATGAAGTTAAAAGTATGGGGGCGTGGACCTACGTGGGCTAATTTTTTCACAGTCTGTACTTCCCATTACGACTTCAAATACGAACTTTGAAAAAAATTCGCTGAGTAATGCCGCTAAAATCAAAAACATACCGAAAATAGGGAGGTACCGTTATATGGGGGCTATACGATGAGTTGGACCTGCATATGCAATTTTCTGTTACAGACTATAGTAACTATTACGAACTTCAAGTACGAAATTTGAAACAATTCCGCTAAATAATGTATACAAAATCATCAAAATGCCGAATATAGGGAGGTTCAGATATATGGACAAAGCGAAGACCTGTACCTGCATAGACAATTTTCTGTCATTGATATTAGCATGGTACAATGAAGACAAGGTAGGTTAACCTTGAAAATTGTAAATATTGTAATACCAGAATTACTATCAAAATAATCGAAAACCCAAACAACATGTTGTATTGATTTTGAAGAAATAATTGAAAACAGAGAAAAATAAATGAAAGGTCAACATTTCTTTTCAAAATCATGTTCTATATATTTAGCCTTGCCTTTTATTGTACCATTGATTGTAGTACCTATTGGGAACTTCAAATATCGATTTTTTAGACCCGGATTTTTTATCAACACTTTTACCTTACCAAAATTACAAAATTTGTGTTAATACCTTTTCTGGGTCAGAGATATTCTCTTCTGGGGATGTTCAAACGGCTACGCGAACTAAAGTTTTCTAAATTTAACAGTTGTTGTAAGTAGCCGGCCTTCGGTGGTCATGTGAACGCTTGTTGGATAGGTATAAGTTTTCAAACGATACCTATATTGCCTATATCGGGTAAGTGATTCCGGGAAACTGATTTCCCGTTAAAAATGTCTACCTCTGTAAAAAAATTTCGAAAAAATCGAAGAATTTTTTTTTTAAACCAGAGTTGTTACACTTGGCCACAGCATTGAGATTTTTAGCGCTAGGATCTTATAAAACCAATGTCGATGATGACTTCAATATTTCCAAATAGTTTTACTGTTGTTATATTCATGGTCAAATATCAAATTCCAAAAAGGTACAATATCAAGGTCGACTAAAAATACAATGTCGTCACGACAGATATTCTCTAAAAACAACTTCACGTCGACTGTTGTATCGTCAATGCAACGACAACCTTAATACCGTTATTGTCTACTCGACTTTATTTTGCAACGACGACGACAATGGTAATAGGGCCAATTAAAAAATAAAAGTCAATTGATGTCTTCATTGTAGAATTAGTTTTATTTCATAGTGGATAAAAATAAACCTGGGCATTTGTGTTTTACTTCTTTGTATTCCATCAATTCATATAATTTGATTCTTCTTTGCTTATAACAATTTTCAGAAGATTACAGTCTTTTCTGGATTTCTTAATTTATCTAATATTCCGGAATTGAAAATATAATTTATGCACTTGTAAAACATAAAATGCCGAAACCCGAAACATACACAAAATTTTCTTTAAATAATACATTTAGTGGAAACAACCTTAGTAACTAATGACTTTTATGCATTGGACCAATTGTAAAATTTTGTAAGTAAAACACACAATGGGTTCTGGCTTCATGGGCATCATAGGCGATATGAGTGAGCGTACACGTTGTTTATAAAAATTGCTTTAGTTTGTTGCATCTCATATGCAATCCTTTTCTGTTTCCAAAAATAAAATAAGAAACAACTAACTATTGGATTATACAAATTCTAGTCTACACGTAGTCCATATTTAATGAATGGTGATTTTCTTTTGTTACCAAACTAATATTTACAAAATGAAGTGATTGGAAGTGACTGACTTTCCCTAATGTGCGCACAAATATGCACTCATTTCTTAAATAACAAATACATTTCTTTACTAGTATTAAATTATCACGTTTTCGTGTGTGTGTATGTGTGTCATTTACATATTCAAGGTAATTATCGGATAATGTGATGAATTGTATGATTTAATTGATAGATTGAGAATTCAAATTAAAAATGGTTACATGCGACAGATGAAGGAAGTTAACCTAATATTTATAATTTAATAGTAATAATCATAAAAACAACTAATACTACATTGTTTTTGATTTCCTTTCCGCACTACTAAATAAAACAAAATAGCAAGAAACTTCAGTAAATAACAATTTCAAATAATAAAAAAGAAATACTTAGAAACTAAAACTTGAGATAAATTAGTTCTTTAGAGATATCGTTTGACACGATTTTCACCGGTTTGGCGTACATTGTCGTTCTTGTCTCGCAGATTGTAGGATGTTCCTCAGTGAAATAGGATGTGGTACATTTTGCTATGCGAACGTGTTGTTGTTCACATTCACCTCATCATCTCATAATTTTGCACGATCGATAGGGCTTTTGCACTTTGTCGTCGATAGAAACATAAACCTCTAAACGTGGCAGACTAATTAAAAAAACTTAACTTATAATGGAGAATAGTTGTAATGATTGTTTTGTATTCTATGTTCATCAGTCTGTAGCAGCATCAATTCAACATACTTTTGCAATGACTCGTGAAAGTATGATTGAAAATGATAAACTCATAAAAATGGTTTTATTTTGGTTGTTGCAGCATTGCGCGCTCGACATGAAATTTATGAAATTTCATCAATATCGACAGGGGCACGATTGGGCACAGCTTGATGGCCATCTGCAAAAGAAATGGACAAAATAGTTAATCATCATCATATATATTGGCATGATTAACATGTTTACGTTATTACAGCTACAAAAAAAGATATAAATAAATAAATGAACAGATGCAACAAAAATTGGTTAAAAAATAAAATTTTGTTAAAGAAATTAATGGTTATTAAAAAATATTTAACGCACAGGAATTTGTATTGCAATTTTTTATTTTTTTTAAGCAGCAGTCAAATAACTTTTTCCCTATACCCGTTTCTTGGATTCTTGTTATCTATCCGTCTCTCATGCTTTCTATATTGCTACTTAATCTATTATTCTCCATTTCCCTTTTAATTTTTTTAAAATTTGTTTAATTTTTTTTACTGATTTATATTTTCCAAATTCAAGCGATCTTTATTCGTGATAGAATTTAACGATATACAGGGGAGATGAAAAAACTGCAACCAACTTAAGAGTGCTGTCATTTCTAAGCCACTCGTCCGACAGCTGTTAAAATTATTCCAGTGACAGCTCATTATATTATTTACAAGCGTACAAAAGCATTTGGTGAGAATTGAATTATTGATTTCAATTTCAACTACTCTCCAGTAATAAATGCTTAAACAAACTTCATTATAAAGGCACAAACTCACTATCAATCACGAGTTACAGCAGATGACTATGAAATAATATATTAGCAACTTTGAAAATAAACTCTTTTTTCGAATTGAAAGGGTCCTTTAAATTTAAATTTATTTTAAGCCCAACATGCTAATTCTCACACAAACTTCCGCAAACTAACAAAAAATTTAGTCATAATTCTTGAAGTTGTGATACTACTGATGTATCGTCTATACTCAGGGTTGTCAGATTTGTTTCTACTGCCATCGCCAAACCAAGTATCAGAATTCACCAAAACGAAATTGATTCGGATTGTGTCAAAAAGTAATTATTTTATTGAGGCAATTTTTTTCATTAGAAACTAGTAAGGCTCACTTTCATCTAAAGAATTATTTTACTTATAATTTAAATATTTGGAGGCCAATTTTTTTCTGTTACGGCACGTTTACAAATAAATGGGTTAACCCTCTGGATTTGTATTAAAATTGTCGTATTCATTACTATACTTCAAATAAATCCTCTGCAAAAAGGTATTCCCTGCCTTACCCCCTGGTAAACATTACCATCGTTCTCCACTAATAAACAAACGTTGTTTTTATAAAAACAACAATAAAGGGATAAAGCCTAAACATTTTGCAACAACTATCTACAAAAATTTATAATTTCACAGTATGTTTACATATAATTAGGTTAACCCAGTGGATTTGGATTAAAATTGTTGTACCCATTGTTTACCCTTCAAATTAATCCTCTTAAAGTAGGTTAACTCAACAAAAAGTTGTAACATAAACATGGCTTTATTTTGTTTTCAGTTTCATATATTGATTTACTACTCGCATCCAAAATGTCAAGTTGGATCTTATTCCCCTAACACTTTTTGGTATAATTTATAAAAGAAAACCCCGTTTCAATAAGTAGAATGTATCTGGCGCATCACGGTAATTACTAACTTTCCTCCGAAAGTCAAGGCATTTTTTAGAATTTCTTCGTTAAAATATTCATTCCACTTTGTAAATTGTAATTTTCTCTACATGTTTTCATATACAACCAATGGTACACTAGAGCCCATAGTTTTATTTGGGTTCCTGGACAATTTAGTGTTTGTGATAACTGGCTGCCAAATTTTAAAATTCTAAATTGTACATTGACTTTTAAAGTTTTCATATTGTCCGATAATATTTTGTATTTGTGAATGGCAGTGTAATTTCCTACAATTCGACTATGAAATCGCCAACTATTCTATAAGCCGCCAACAAATCGCCATACCGCCAAATCAGAAATTAAGCCGCCAAACGCATTGAAAAATCGCCACGTTTGGCGAGAAATCGCCATATCTGACAGCCCTGTCTGTACCTAACGTTTTATTTTAAAATGTGTCTTTTAAAAAATCTATCTAAAAATATTCTGATAGTTATACTGAGTGACAAAGTTTTAAGGCCATATTTGCGTAAAAGCAACACGACATCTATGTTTAACTAATTTTAACAAGTCAAAAATTAGTGGCTTCGGCTGGTATTAATAATGCATTGGAACAAAAGGGGGAAATAAGTGGGTAGAGTAGTTAAATTATGGAATTAAAAAGAAAACAAAAATCAACACGAAATAACTCAACCCACCTAAAATTTTGCCTAGTTTTTTTTTTTTTTAATTATAATTGTATTATTAAATGTCCATATTTTTTGAACTGCTTGAATCATCTATTTCTTCAATGTTATTGCAGTCCGTAATGTCTGTGAGTTCAAAAACTAAAGAAGAAATGTATACTAGTAGTAGTAATAATAAATAAATAAAAAAAAATAATAACAATAAATAAAAATCATAACGAAATTTACCACAAATACATGTTCAATGGAAATGGAAGCACTTTTAAAGTATTTGAAAGAAAGATTTTGTTGGATAAATTTCGTAATGATTTTGATAAATTTAATACGGAAAATGTAGGAAGTACGAAAACTTACCACGGATGGCCTGACTAGCTTTACGTTTGTCACTGATAATGAAGGCAGCCGTAATCAAAAAGAATATACCGCCCAACACTTCAACAAAGCACGTAGAGAATAATGCATATTGTAATTTCCTACAATTCGACTATGAAATCGCCAACTATTCTATAAGCCGCCAACAAATCGCCATACCGCCAAATCAGAAATTAAGCCGCCAAACGCATTGAAAAATCGCCACGTTTGGCGAGAAATCGCCATATCTGACAGCCCTGTCTGTACCTAACGTTTTATTTTAAAATGTGTCTTTTAAAAAATCTATCTAAAAATATTCTGATAGTTATACTGAGTGACAAAGTTTTAAGGCCATATTTGCGTAAAAGCAACACGACATCTATGTTTAACTAATTTTAACAAGTCAAAAATTAGTGGCTTCGGCTGGTATTAATAATGCATTGGAACAAAAGGGGGAAATAAGTGGGTAGAGTAGTTAAATTATGGAATTAAAAAGAAAACAAAAATCAACACGAAATAACTCAACCCACCTAAAATTTTGCCTAGTTTTTTTTTTTTTTAATTATAATTGTATTATTAAATGTCCATATTTTTTGAACTGCTTGAATCATCTATTTCTTCAATGTTATTGCAGTCCGTAATGTCTGTGAGTTCAAAAACTAAAGAAGAAATGTATACTAGTAGTAGTAATAATAAATAAATAAAAAAAAATAATAACAATAAATAAAAATCATAACGAAATTTACCACAAATACATGTTCAATGGAAATGGAAGCACTTTTAAAGTATTTGAAAGAAAGATTTTGTTGGATAAATTTCGTAATGATTTTGATAAATTTAATACGGAAAATGTAGGAAGTACGAAAACTTACCACGGATGGCCTGACTAGCTTTACGTTTGTCACTGATAATGAAGGCAGCCGTAATCAAAAAGAATATACCGCCCAACACTTCAACAAAGCACGTAGAGAATAATGCATATTGTAGAGCCTCAAATTTGGTTAGATCAGTATCCTATGAAGAATATGTATTATAATATATGTATTATTCATCAAAGAATGTTCACTACTCACTTCGTTGTGATTATAGCCTGAGAAAGTAGCTGCAGAAGTAGTTGTTGTTGGAACCGTTGTGGTACTAGGCGTTAATGTGGTTGTTGCGTTTGCTATCGTCGAATTCACAGCTTCTACCACTGTTAGGGATAGACTTTCAAGACCACCACTGTTAACAAACTCTGAAGCTCTGTGGACATTTGTGCGTAAATGTTTCTTAATGGCTTCTGATAGCTGGAAATCACAAGAACATAGGAAAATCAAAATTATTATTTTTCGATCATTATTAAAAACAAATCGAGAATATGCTACTTACCACACCAACTAAGTAAGGACTACCGGCATCACCTAAGGCATGTGATATCAATATTTGGAATGCTTCAGCTGTTGACCTACGCGTTGGAACAACGACATACTGTAAAAATATTTTTAAATTTGAAAATAATTAGTTTTAAGGTATGTCACTTTTTTAATGAGGAAAGTGTTGAAAACAATACAACATAAACTACTGTGCAATTACCACCAAAGTCAAATAAAAAGCTTTAGAACATTATCGAATACATGCACCAAATGACCAACAACTTTTCAATAAATAAAAATTAGTTACAATTGTATACAAAAGATGGAGCCACTCGAGCAAAAAACAACAGAGACCGTTCTCAGCCATCAAACAAAGCGTCCAGCTGAGTGAGAACGATTTGCAGCAGATGTCTCCGCCAGAACAATCTTCATTCAAGCGTAAAAGTACTGTACATCGAAAATAGGCGTTGTGGCTGAATAATGTCTTGCATATTTTCAGGCTGTACGCCATTGTGTATGAATCGCCAATTGCTGTTGTTTAGTTGCTCTTGCTGTTTCTCTTTCTCCACGACGTATTAAACAAATATGAATTGATGTGCTACTTAAGTGGTGTACGAATAACATTATGTCCCATCCATGTAAGTGTGGTTTATGACTAGGTTTGTTTAATTTTACTGTTATAAAATTGAAAGGAGATGTCGAAAAACAGTTATATCGGGTGTTGGTGCTTCATGTAAAAACAAATATTAGTGATTTTAGGGTTGGTATATATAGGAAGACTATTGATGGAGTAGTGAAATCAAAGAGGTACGTGAAGAATGCCACTGCTAAATTAAAAAACAACAAGAAAGTTTCGAAATTAATTCTGTAAAACATTCGTTACAGCGTGGGCCTGATTCTTATAATGATTCGAAAGTGAACCCCCATTCCATGAGTATTTTTATATCCTCCACCATTCAATGGAGGGTATATTAGTTATGTCATTCCGATTGTAACTTTTCGAAACATTTATGATAGACCCTACAAAGTATATATATTTTGGATCAGCGTAAAATTCTAAGACGATTTAGCGATGTCGTTTGTCTGTCTGTTGTAATCACGCTATCTTTCTAACTAATTGGGATAGAAGGCTAAATTTTTGCACACATGTGTATTTTGCCAGTAGGCAGGTTAAGTTCGTAAATGGGTCATGTCGGTCCACGTTTTCGTATATCCCCCATATAACGGTACCTCCCGATATTCGGATATTAAAAGTTCGGCCGACCGAACTTAGCTGCTTTTTTAATTGTTCATTTTAAATACATATTAAAATTTTAGGAAAAAATCTAGGAATTTTTCTTAAGAGTTCACTTTCGAATCGTCATATAAAAACAGGTCATAAGTCGACTCTTTTCAACACAACATAAACCTGAAACGTAAATTAAGATGGTAGGAGGATTTTTTCCACAAGAGATAAGAAATTGAAAACACAAGTACTAAAGGAAAAGCCCAGTTTACGCGGGCTTGGCTTCGCTGGGGCTTCTATTGTATAGTTCTACAATCAGACCACACCAAAATTTAAAACACATTAAACTAACAAAAAAAAAAAAAAAAAAAACTAAGCTTATAGTTCAATGAATTTTGTTAAATCGTAAGACACCATATTTGGTTAGAGAATGGTTTTGAATGAAATTTGTGCATTCTCAATAGGTTATGGAACCGATAGAAAATAAATCAAATATTTTTTATTAACTAACATAATTTGTTTGCAACATGATATAAAAACCACTTCATTAAATTCACTGTCATTTGATAACTGTTATCGCAAAATATAAGCGGTCAATTTTAAGATATGATAATGGCAGACTATGTTCAATAATTTTAAATGAAACACACATTTTTATATTCTTTGTAAATAAAAAGAAAATTCCAAACAAAATCGTCACTGGGGAAGACAACAAAATAAATAAAATGTAATGACGCTGTTGTGCAGCAAGACTTCATACGTCATAAAAATATTAGCACCTATTTGTGTTTGGATACAAATATAAATAGAAGCATTAAAGAGAAACAAATAGAATCACTGGCTATAACTACCAGAAATAAAAAAATGGCGTTTAAAGGATATTTCCCATATGTAAATCTATAAACGAAAAAAATATCGAATTACTTTGAAATTAAAAGTAAAAGTCCTATTAATATTCTTAATGTGGTTATACCCTCAACCAACTCCAATATAACACGATACTAACAACTAATACAGAATGACATATCAAAAAAAAAACCTCCCTCATCATGAGGGTAAAAATGAAATTGGTAATTTATTCATGATAAATGCCTGCAAAATGTTTCATCATTTAGTTAATATCATTATGTTTTGTACAAGTGTCACTTTTGGGGATGAGTCAACCCCACCGCATTAAACACCTCATACCAGGTTTCCACCCATCTACTACTAACAATGTAACAACACTCCCCCTTTGGCACATGTATTGAGACCTGTTAAAACCTGTTTGCCATACTATCCTTGGGGAGTAATTGTGAAAAATGTTTTCTTATAAATCGTCAAACGAAAAAGGGGTGTGTGTTCTGAAGAGAATAATGCAACAAATTGGAAATATTACAAAAGAGTATGAGGAGATTATATTTCATACGAATACAAAGAAGCAAGGAAAAGTGGCGCAAAAATAAAATGCAAATATGATTTTATTAAATTTCATTATAAATGGGTTTGTCGTCTGTGACGTAGCAAAAAGAAATTTATTCCGAATTATATTCACAATAACAACGCTGGTGTTAATTGTGTTTTTTGAGAGGGTGGGTGTGTGCGGTAAATTGTAAAAACTTTTGTGTGCAAGCATATATTTTTTCTGTTTTTGTGTGGAAGTGGTTTGTGTACTATAAATGTGTGTGTGTTGAAAAATATAAGAGTGCAGAGCTTATTTGGAAATGTGAGCAGCATTACAAGTGGGCTAAAAAAAATATTAGTCAAAAGTCACCAACACCAGAACAAACTCAATTCAAAAACTTTCTTCTAAGAACTCTAGAAGAAATAGTAAAGAATAATGATTCCCAATGCAATGATTTTCTTCTAGCCAACTTAATGACATATTATTCGAAATATTTTTAAATAATTCCATTAAGTCGTTAATTCAATTCTCACAAAGCATACCTTTGGATTGGGTTTGTTGTTATTAATTAATAATAATATATATAAACCGCCAATAGTTATTTTAATTTAAAATTAAGTTTCAATCGATTTCAATTACAACATCCTATGTTATAACAGTAAATATTAAACAAACAAAAAAGTATTAAAACAACATTTACATGAATTTTTACAATGTTCGCAAAAGAAAAGGTACAATGTACGAATAGAGAAATATCTTACCAGCAAAATATCAGCAACAATTGCCCAATTCATATTCAATGACAGTTGGCCGAAAAATATTAAAATATATGTAGCAACAGTATTGTCGGAGACAAGTATCATAGCCCCCGTCATTAGGGGTATACTCAATATCAGTCCGAAGGCACAGATCAAGGGATCAGCAGTGGGAAAACCTTTAACCAATTTGGTGGATAAAAATGAACCTAAGGGTACGCCTATTATTCCCGCAATCATTGTTATGGCACCAAATTTGAAAGACACACTGTTTTGTGCGAACAACATTACGAGGCAAAAGGTAAAGAGAATAAAAAAATATTGTAATATAATTTTGAAATTTGTCAAAAGTTCTTAATATCTACAATAAAAAAAACTTTGTTTAGCGTTCGTACAAGTAGATCCTTGTGAAGATGGTTCTGGGAGAGACGAGACGACGTTGTTATTTGTTTGGGGTCGTTGTAGTTTATGCATGCTTAATAATCTAAAAAGAAATTGCGAAGTAGGATCTTACCAACAGTATATCGGCCACAATGGACCAACAGAGATTCAGTGCCAACTGAGCTCCAAATATAAACAGGAAACACCACGAAGCACTTGATCGCGACAAGTACAATGCCAAATAAACCATGGGGGCAGAACTCAATAAACCAGCAGCACAAATGTATGGATCACAATTCTCGACTTGGTGTCTAAAGCGTGTTGCCAGTATAGAACCCAGGGGTACGCCAATTAGTCCCGCAATCATTGTTATCATTCCAAACTTGTACGATACGCTAATCACATAGTTATTGTGTAATGTTTGTATGAGTGTGTGTGTTTTTTGAGTTTCATTCACAAGCAAATCTTTTTTCATTCTGTTCATTTGTCAATACTTACTCATTTTGAATTAGATTTTCATTGCCAGGTTGCATTTTTAAGCCAAGATAAATGAATTTTGGTCCCCACCATGCCAACGCACCGGCTACAAAAGCTACACACGTGAAGCCAGCAGTGGACAGCATAAATGAACGATTCTTAACCAAGTACTTGACGTCTTCGGTATATGTGGTGGTTGACAGATTGTGGGAACCCTCACTTTCACCGCGTTCGGGATCTTTAATGAGCATAATTAAAACGACAGCAGCAATACCCAATATGGGTGTGACACGTAGCGCCCAGCGCCAATTTCCAGCCAAATGAGCTGTTTCAGATCCCACAATGTAACTGTATGAAAATATTAAAAGAAATTATTATTCCAATAATTACTACACACTTCTGTCGAAAATATATATATTCATCAAGTTCATGTTACCGTATTTGTTGTTTGTGTAAAATTATTTATTGGTGTTTGTGTCCACTTGCAGCAAAAATTGTTTAATCAACCCAAAACTGATCTAAAATAGCTAAGACCAATTTGCTCCATCTAAAAAGTTAATTATAAAAAAAACTCGTCATTTGCCCCGCTATAAAATCAACAGCTTTTCTCGCAACTGCAAACAGATCAAAATTAAATAGGCTGTTGTCCGACTGAAAACTTGTCTAGAAATTCTGGGTCAATTTTTCGATGGAGGTCTGTTTTTTTTCCAGTTGAGCTAACAATATGTATCTATCTATAATATCGGCTTATGTTATAGTTCAGTCCTCATAAAACAGTTGGATTTGGAATTTAAATTTCAATTAATCACATTTTATGCAAGCAACCCCATTTAATTTTAAAATATATGTTGTTAAACTTAAAAATTATTAACCTGATATAAGAACGAAAATAACCCATTAAAAGTTAGTCATATTTACCCTCCAGTATTACAAAAAATCCATTTCAGACGAAGGTCATAACAAATATTAAGCATTAAATTCATCACACTGCAATTATTTTTTTATTTATCATCGGAACTTCCTCCTCTCCGTTATTGATCCAAACCGTATGCCTTACAAATAAGATAAACAATATGCCATGCATAATTGTTTTTTTTTTTGTGCAAAAATATTTCAGATATAAATAATAATAGCAAAATACCAAATTTTCCTGTTTATATATTTATAACTGCCTTGTTTTGCAAAATTTCTTGCAGCATCTATAATAGACACATGAACCGCCGAAAGATACCATCAGTCCAGACAGTATTTATTTAATGTAATCAACTAATTTCAATTAAACATTTTGTACGGGTCGAAAGGTTGAAAACCAGCTATGCCGATTTAAAAACAAAATATAAATAACGCCATAATAACTGATGAGGTAAATTCAATTGATTTACTATTTAATTGTAATTGACCTGTCCAGACAAATATTCTTAATTTGACAATACGTGCACACATACACGTATGCAATACATGAATTGCCTTAATTTGTACGTAAGGGTCAATTGTTAGATCGACAAATTGTATATTTTTATCACAACATTATAAGCATTGTGATATCGTCGGGCGGGCAAAAGTCCAATTTTGTAAATTGAACGCTTTCCAAATGAAAACACGCGATATTTAAAATATTCTTACATTTAATTATTGTGATCGCTGTTTGTTATTGAACTCTGCCTGGGTGGAAAACAAAGATTCTTTTATTTAAATTTCAATTGACATTTGGTTGGTTGTCAAGAGATATAATTTCACTGTGTACTCTGCGTTGGGTGGGACGTACGTTTTAGTTTATTTACACATGAGTATTTTTCTGCCGAACTTGAACTTGATGATTTTTTGCCAAATCAACATGGCACTACACCAAAGTAAGCAGGTAAATATAGAAACAAGTATCTATTTGTATTTGTTTATAACTAACTGCATAACTCACCCAAAACCAGAACCCACTGGTATGGCAAAATAAAAAACGGCCAGCATTTTTGAACGTAGATCATGTACAAATAGATCCGATATTATAGTTGGGGCTATGGTACTGTAGGATGCTTCGCCAATACCAACCAAGGCACGGAATGTCATAAACCAGCCGGAACCTGTCATAAATGAACCGAGCAGCGTTGTTGTCGACCACAGCAAAACACCTATGGCCATAATCCAACGCCTCGAATATCGATCACCTAAATAGCCAAATATTGGTGCACACACCATATACGACAGCACAAAAACCGTTTGTAGAAGGCCCGCATCATCGTCAGGCATTTGAAAATCTTTCTGTATATCCTCCAAGACACCTAAAATGAAGAAAGAAGCAACAATATTATATCGTACCAGTAAAACAAATACAGAAAAAAATAAATGTTTCATAAGATAATTTCCGACATTCCGATTTTTTGATTGATTGATTTCAATTTAATAAAATTGCAATAAATTTGTTGCGTATCCCATGGAATAAATTAAACTGTTATTTTTTCAGTGGATACATTCTCATACTCGGGCTATGAAGAACTGATTTTATGATTGATAATTATGAAAAACGAGAAAATTTTAAAACCAATCCCAGATTAAACTACGTGAGAAAGTTTTTTTCTTAACTAAATTCATTGGCTAGTTTTGCTTTACAGGGTGAGATAAAAAAAACTGCAACCAACTTCCTACTGCTGCTCATTTCTAAGTCATTTACAAGCGTACAAAAGCATTTAAGTGAGAATTTTTCAGAAAAAATTATTTGTGATGGAATTCGAACGTGAAAGTGTGACTTCTTTATATCTGGCTGCAAAACCACAAGTGGCTATCGTTAGAGCACTCCAGCATTTAGATATGAATAAATCTTTTGTGTCTCGTACCATCGCTCGTTACTGTGATACTTGTAGCGTAGCCCGACGTCAAGGAACTGGACGGAAGAAAACAGCAACATCGGCAGAAATGGTTCGAAAAGTAAAGAACCGACTTGATCGAAACCCGCGTCGCAGTGACTGAAAAATGGCTGGTGAGCTGAAAATATCGCAATATTCCATTCGGCAAATGTTGAAAAAATTAGCTCGGGGTAAAGCCATTGAAATTCCAAAAAGTGCAAGAACTTACACCGCAACAGAAAGAAAATGGACTCAAAAGAGCTATAGAGTTGCTTCGCGTCGCCGAAAGTGGAGGTCTGCCGAATGAGAAAACATTCGTCGTCTAGCAGTTTGCAAACAAACAAAATGATCGTGTTTACTTGCCAAAGAGGTCAGCTGAAAATGTCCACCTTCTGTTCCGATAGTCGCTCGACGCTCGTATTAATCGATCGTGGCACCAGAATAAATGCCGAATATTATCGCGAAAATATTCTGGAGGGTGCAGACTTTGGACATTCCAACAGGACTCGGCACCATCGCACTCAGTACGCGCCACACATAAATGGTTACAAAATGAGGTTCCTCGCTTCATTTCCATCGCACGATCACCAAAATCACCAGATACCAATGCATTGGACTATTGTATCTGGAGTATTTTGGATAGCAAGGTTGGCACTAAAAATACAAAAGAGTCGATCACCTCGAGCAAGCGCTTCGCCGGGAATGGGCCAAAATGCCGCAGAGCAACATTCGGGTAGCGTGTGACGGTTTCATTGGCAGTTTGAAGGCCATAATTCTTGCCAAAGGTGACCAATTCGAACAAAAAAATGTAAAAATTATGGCGTTTGACTTTGTTACAGTTTTTTATCTCACCCTTTAATTAGACATATGTTGCAATGCGATCTAGCAATGACAATTCGACCTGAACACAAAAACTTAGGAATATCTAATTGAATAATACATGCAATAATGCAAATAAATTTCAACATTATAAATATTAAAAAAAACTGTATTGCTGATCAATGTAACCCCTTTTTTGTATTTAGGTACATATGTCTGTGCTACTTCATAACAAGGGGACTAAGTCGAAGGACTTGTATTTAGTTTTGCATACATTTGACTTGAGGCGATGGAATTAGTTACAAAATATTTTTATGCACAGTAGTCTTATTGGAAATTTTAGAATTCTAGCATAGCCGTTGTAAAATTGGAAGATTTTAACCCTCCAAGGTGGGTTAAAAATGTTCGTAATGTTGACTTAATTCGAAATGAATTATATCAATATCTTGCTTTGAGAATTTCGAGTAAATATAATAGTAAAATGTAAAACTAACCCTACTAAGTTGTTTTTTAGTAACTGTGCTATTACTTCTAGTAGAGGAAGTTCAATATAATAAGGAAGCGCATTTTACATAGTTCTGAATGAAATTATATTAATTTTAATTGTTTCCAACAGGAATAAACGAATCATGCCATAGGTATTACTTACAATTATATGGATTTTAATTCAAAACGTACTTGGCCATTAAAATTTGAATTTTAATTGAAATGCAGCAGAGACACATACGCACTTAGAATACGACAAATTTGCACATTTAAGCAATCAAAATACAAAAAATCCCAGCTCTTGTAACCTTCGGCGGTGACAAGTCATTGGAAGAAAATAAAGGTAAACACAGAAATGTGGATAAAAAGTATGTATGGAATTAAAGATGAAGAAACAAATGGCAAAGCGAAAAAAATAAGACACCACAAATTTGACATATTTTGTCCCAAATGAGTGGTATATATGGCGTTGAACCGAACCATTCAAATCGGCAATAAGAAGGAAAAGCGAAAACATAATACAAAATTTTATGCATTTTTATTTGGCCAAAATAGAGGTTTCGCCAACGTCAATAGCAAGCAAATGAGAACAGCAACAAGTTAAAGTGGAAAAAAGCGTTCCTATTTTGCATTAGCGCGCAAAGAAGAAGACAGAAGGCGATGACATTCATGCAATCAACACAGCATGGGGCGGGCAGGAGGGCTCAAAATGTTTAACATATGATCCATCGGGTATGACGTGCCCGCTGCTGTCCGACAAGTTGTGGGACAAACGAAAGAGGGTATCGCACGACAAGGTGAGTGAGTTTTTGCAGAGTGTTGATTCATTATTGCACGACGCTATTATTATTTATTTATTTATTTTGGTTAGTATGCTTCTGGTACCACAGAGCCCACTACCAACAACGGGGCAACTAACTGCAAACAATCAGTCAGCCAGCAAGCAAGCAATTGAATGTGAGACGTGGGTTTCTTTCGGTTTTCAATGAAAATATTTTATCGTACGATATTTTTTAACCAATCAGAGCTCGATGCGATTGCTAAAAATGACGTAACGCTCAAAACAAACGGCTGACGTCGCGTCGTACATGTACGTAAACGAATGCGAATGTTTACGTAGCCAATATAAACACCAAATGTCAGTAGAAAGCCGAAATGGTAAAATAATTTTTAAATTGTATACAAAAAAAAGTAGCAACAACAAATAAAACACTGGCACACAACCAGTTCGCATACTTGGCTGGTAATATCTGCTGTTGGCAGACTTGCGATAAACTTTGCACACTTTGCCGGCAGTTTAGTTTTTTTCTTCTCTTTTTTCTTTTGAATAAAAATTGTTTTTAAAGCGAATGAAGAGAACGCGAAAGCGAACACAATGCTAAAGCAGAACAATAATGAACATGCGATATAAAATAATAAACAAAACGTGGCTATGGCATTGGGCGAAGGCTTGGCACTCGCATGGATACGTCAAAATGAATATTTATACATATATGGTGATATTGCCAACGTTGCAAAATATTCCAACACACACTCTGGCGACCGCCAAAGTAGGTGGAGAGAAACGTCAAATTGTGAGAGCTGGGAACTTTTTCTTTGAAGATTGTGGAGCATTTGTTGTACGGTTTATACTTTCAACGAAATATTTACCCACACTCGAATGAATATCTGTGAAATGTACATTTCTATTGAAAGAAAGATCGAGATATCGAGATGGATGCTGCCGATGATGCGCATTGCCATTCGAATATCTTTTTTTTCTTTGCATTTTAGTACCTTGGACTTCAGACATGCGTTTCCTTCCTATCAGCTGAGCTGAAACAAAACCAGTTAACAAATCATACGATTTTGTTCCGCAGCAATGACCACCAACCAACAACCAGACATAGTGACAGACAAAAAAGCAATATAATTGCTAATCGAGAGAAAAAAATTAAAAGTTCCTCAAAACCAGTCTTTAGTCACACTCACAAATGCGACTATAAAATATAAAAGCCGGTTAAAATATTTGCCACCATGCAGAAAATGGAGAATCAGAAAACAAAGCGAAAAGTGGGCAAACAACAACAACAGTGAAAATAAAATCATCTGATTTTATGCGAAATGCTAACAAAAACCCCAGCGCTTGATATCTAGAACTTTCAGAATATTATTCAGCATACATCCGCTATTAACAATATTGGTTTTTGTATAATTGCTGTTGTTGTTGATGAGGGCCATTGTCAAATATTAAATAAATCCCAATTAGTTTGTATGGGAATTAGTTGAATTTTTAAAGCGTCTTAAGAATATAATTTCATCTCTTAAGAAACAATTCATTTTCATTCATTTTGCAGCAATTTTTGACCTTGACCATGAGCCATGGGTCCTCATAAGAACAAGCGTTTCCTTCATTGATTAGATTGATAAAATGTTTGAAAAGTGATCTCCTTGTCGAGTTCACTTCGAAACTTGGTAATGAGAATAGAAAGATTTTTTAAGCAATAACCTATTATTTTCAACATATTGGTAATGTACAAAGTAATATGTTGACATTATATTTTAATGGGATATTGGGATTTCGAGTTATTGTTGGGTAGTAATTTATGTCGCCCTTTCGACTTTTGCACTATGCAACCACTAGGCTTAATTTGATATATCTGACCCAGATTTAAGATATTGAGTATTTGTTACATGTATTTTCTCTAAAAGCACCACCGCAGCCCTCTTGAATGTTGATTTGACATTCGAATGGTTGCTCAAACCTTAAGTTTCTATTAAAACAAGTAAAAAAACTATAAGTTCGGCCGGGTCGAACTTTGAATACCCTTCACCATTTGGAACGAATTTAGCAATTCTCAAAAACAATAAAATCCGTTAAACAATCTGTTGAAATCTTAAAAATACCGAATGTGGCTGTTATATTAGGGTCTATACGTCGACATGGATCTGCATAGGTAACTTTTGTCATAATGCGAAACTTAAAAAAATCCGTGAATAATGTAGCTAAAATCATCAAAATACCGAATATCTGGATGTACCGTTATATGGGGGCTATACGAAGACGCGGACTTGAACAGACAATTTTCTGTCTTAGGCTTAGGCCATTACACACTTCAAATACCAAATTTGAAAAAATTCCGGTGAATAGTGTC